ATCTTATTTTTCGAAATTAAAATATATCTTATTCTTATTAGATGCAAATATTATTAAATAAAAAAATGTTAATTTTATGAAATAATATATACCTAATATATTATTATATCATAATATTATTAAAATATATAAATTTAAGAAATAATAGAATATATCTTACCATATTTAATTTTATTTTTTTTATTCATTATCCTTATTAGTTTTTTTAATTAATTTTTTTAAATATTGAATAAGTATCTATCTATACATTCAATCATTTCAGAAATATCACATGATTTATGTAAATGCTTCTTTCTGAAGATTACTATAGTTATTTTATATCATATTTGATGTTAAAAACATAGATTCCGAAGATTTTGTAAATAAAATCAACTTAATTAAAATTTTATATAAAAATTTAATATAAAAATTTTGATGAAATTTTATTTAAAAAATGTGTTTTAAGCTGATCACATTAATCTTTGAAATTGTTATTTAAAAACATTATTTTAAGCAACTTTTTTCTATAGTTTTTTCTTACATATATTTGAAGTTTTCGAATTATACACCAAAATATTTTCAAACTATACGTGTATATTTTAGTTTAGATTTATATAGATTTATCAATTTAGATTTATATTTGATTTTAGTTTGATCTGTTATATTTACTTTTTTTATTTCATTAATTCATATTGCAACAATAAATATATATTATATATAATATATATTATATTATATTATATTTACACATTAGCAATAATATATATTTATAAAATATCAAATTGATATTCAATTATCTATGAATATTTATTATTATTCAGACATGTTTTTCATGAATTGGATACATATGTGAAAAAAATTCAGAAGTAAAATATTTTTTTTTAAGATTTTTTTTAAGAAAAAGAACATATTTAAATGCATTTTATTTTTTTTAAGATTATTAAAATTCTTTAATATTTTAAAAAAGACTTGTCACATTTTTATCTACTCCAGCTAACAAATAATAATATATAGAATAATAATAATAGAAGAAATAAGAATAAGTACATAAAATGTTATATTTTAATTAATTGGTACTGATTGATAAATAAAAATGTGATTATCATAAGATAGTCATAAGATATTATTTATGTCAGAATATATAATAATACGTAATATAATAAATAATTTGAAAATTAAAACTGATTATCAGATATATGTTTGAAAAAAATTTGTTTAAAATGAAATTCTTAATAATATATTTTAAGATCAGTGAGAATATCTTTTCAACAAATTGATTTGATTTTCCAAATAAAATTACAAACTATATTTTTTTTTTTTGATAACTATATCATATTAGATACTTATATTTTAAAATATTTATGATAATAAAAATAACAAATATATAAGTAATAATTATTTGTATTTTTTAAAGCATATAAATAAGAAATGAATACTAACTTATAATTTATTATATATTTCAGGTACTGAATTTCATATTTTCATTCAATTTGAAAGTATTTCAAAAATCATTTCAATCTCTATCACAGCAATAGAATTATTTATTAATTCTACAACAAATACAATCTTTTATGAGACATAAAAATAAAATTAAATAGAAATTTAATAGATTATCTTGTTGAATTATTTCTTGTAAATAAATATATATAAATAAACATATATATAAATAAATTAAATATAACTAAAAATAACTATGATTATAACTGTTATATAATTAAAAAAATATTTTTAAAACTAATAAATTAAAAACAGAATATGTAATTAGTTTATTTGTGTGCATTAGTATTTTAATCAAATGAAAAATAAATATGTAGTTTCAAAAACATTGCTAATAAGGTAAATAACATTAATTTTTATTAACTATTTAACGCATTCATTATATAAAATGAATTCAATTTTTCTCAGCGACATTCTAGAAAATAACTGATCGATTATTCTCTGATATAATTCTCATAATTTTTCAATGACAGTAACAGTACAAAATCTACCTATACTTAAAGAAATTTTGAAAAATTATTTGATAATGATCTGAATATTAAATATTTGTAACTTAAAAAGATTTATTTAAAATATTTTTAATGACAGTTTCTAAATCAGCAGTTTTAAAAAGATTAACCAATTGATCAGCAATTTGATAATTGCAAGCTGCTATAACTCTTGGTGTTATTAAATCTAATTCTCCACCTATAATTATATTGTTATTAAAATTTCTTAAAAAATAATTATTTTCTTAAATTTAATAATAAATATAATTTTTGAAAAATATATATACCTGCAGTATCTATTACCGTGCCTCCTGCTTCTTCTATTATTAATTTTCCTGCAGCAACATCCCAAGCATCTATACTTTCAACATGATATGCTTCAATTGCACCCATCGCAACATAACACAATGTAAGTGCAGCCGTGCCCAATGATCTTATACTAAATAATTATTAAATATAAAATAAAAGATTATACAAATTTTTGTTAAAATTTTTATTTTTAAAAATAAATAATTACCCATGAGTTCTTTGAATTAAAGCATGCATTCTAGTGTATATATTAACTAAATAATTTGGATTTTTGGCAATCCATGGTTCCATTGCTATCAATGATTCAGATAAATCTAGAATAATAATAAAAATATTAAATTTTAAAATATTTATGTGTCAGAAAAATAAAAGACTAATGAAATAATATATTTTTATTAAAATTATTTGTTTTGTAAAAATTTAAGAATAAATTTAAGAATAAGAAATAATTTTCCATCAAAATTTCATTTATAGAATACAATAGAATATGTTCAGAAATAATTTAAACATCTTTATTATTTTTATATTTATGAATTTATGAATGTTGAAATTTATTTATTTATAATATAATGCCTATTTAAATAAACTGTTAATACCTGTTATTTTTGATGTTTTTATACGATGACCATTTAAAAAAGCTCCTTTCTGTCTTTTTGCAGAAAAAAATTGCATCATTAAAGGATTATAGACTATTCCAATTTCTATTGATTTATTTATTATTAATGCTAAAGAAATGCACGTGTGTGGAAACTGATGAACAAAATTTGTTGTACCATCTATGGGATCTATAATCCATGTTGGTTCATCAGTTAATTTTGGTAAACAATTTTTTTCTGCAGTCGTTTCTTCACCAATAAATCTGAAAATGAATTTTTTTATCGACCACTATATTATATTTTTTAATGATTTTTTTAATATTATATCATATTTATATGATATTTATACATACCTATGATTCGGATATTTGTTTAATAATTCTTTCTGTAAATCATTTTCTATCTTTCGATCATATTCTGTAACAAGATCCCAATCAATTCCTTTACTTTTTACATTTTTATTTAAATTAATGGCACTTTTTATTATCTAGAAGTAAATATATAATTTTTTTCGAATAATATATAATACTTTATTACATATAAAAAAACTCGCGGAACAATTACAAAGATATTTTTTCTGAAAAATTTTGATATATTACACATTACTTGAAATTCAAGCAGATTTTTATTTTATATTTATTAAAAATCAATCAGTATAAAAATATATTTATGCTTTCGAAGAAATTTATAATTCTTTGTTTAAAGAAATAAAAAAATTCTATTTTTTAAATTTAATTATTTATTATACATAATTGTTTAAAATTTAAATTAAATTAAGGTTTAAAAATTTTGCGTAAATATTTAAATAATTTACATTATTTCATATTTCAAATTTTTATAAAATTAATATTAAATTGTATATTAAATAATAAAATTAAAATTGTTTAATATCTTTAATACGTATAAAATTCTATTGGATTTTTTTTAATAATTTAATATTTTCAAAAATTCATATATTATATTGTTAAATTTTTTAATTCTATTTCTTAAAAATCATTATTATTTTTTTCAATAATAATAAAAAAAAATGTGATTTTACAAAATAAGAAAGAAAGAAAGAAAGAGATAATTTTGAAGAAATAAAAAATTTTGCTTATTAAAAATTAAACGATGATTTAATCATCTTTATCATCAAATTTTATCATCAAATTAAAATCAATATTGATTAGTTTGTTAAAAAAGTGTCATGTCTAAAAAATCTTCAGTTTTGAAATATTTCAAAAAAAATAACCATAAAAATTAACTTTTAGATATTACTTGTATCATGATTATAAAATAATTAAATTTTATGTTGAATTAATGAGAATAAATAGAGACACAATAAAAAATAAATTTTAAATTTAATTTTTAAAAAGCAATATATATAAACAATAAGGTTATATATAATCATTGCTATGAAATTGTCAATAATAATCGAGTTATAATAAATTGTTTATTTTTTTCAATTGTTTCCATTATTTAATATATATCTCAACAAAGATGTTGATAAAAAATTTCAAATTCAAAATTCATATTGAGAAAGCAATCTATCTTTTAAAAACTTGACTATTTTTCAAACCAATTTTCTGAAAAATTTCGAAAAAAATTTTTTTTTTATTTTTTTTTTTAATTTTAGTTTTTTTAGCTCTTTAATCTCACTTCTTTAACAAACTGATTATAACACTAATTATAACATATATTCATAAGTACTTTGCCTGCTTTCAAAACTAATTCCTCAGCGACTTTATAATATTCTTCTATGTCATGTGAATTAGTCATACTTAATATTTATACTTTTTTTACTAATAATTGCAAGTACAATGGCCGTTTGAAATTCTTTCTCTATTTTACAGAGATTGATTAATACTGACATCGATGAAACATCGACCGGCCTATATAACTACTAGAATGGAAAAAAGAGAAAAGAGTGGGGCAAAAGAGGAATAGGTGGGAGTAAAAATCTGTAATGTTTAAGTTTAAAGTCTGTTATGCACTGTCGACTAATTACCAATGATTATTTACGTACAAAGTTGATACTAACGAATCGTTGACGATTCGTTAATATTAAAAAGTATGAGTGATATATGGGTAATATATACTTTAGTTGGAACCGAACGAAGTTTAAACAACGAACAATTTTTATGCAGAGCAGAAGTTTTTTGTTCATACACGATAACATATTCTAAGTTCTAACATAAAAATATTTATTTATAAAAGTTGAATCTCGATAGACAATATCTAATAATTACGTCAAGTGCTTTAAAATATTCTTATATGAACGTTTTTCTTTTTACATGATGTTTTTACTATAAAGAAATGTTTCTAATATAATTTTTTTTGTCTTTTTTATAATTATAATAATCTTTTTAATATTCAATCCATTTTGTACGAAAATCTTTGCTAAATATTAATAATTTTTAATCATCATAGAATTTGATCTTCATTAGTTTTTAGTCTCTTGGCTACAAATTTAATCTATGATCTGTGATATTGTTAAAAAATATGTCATTTTTGTAAATCGTTTCTCTTCTTTTGAATTAGTGAGTAATTTTCTATTCTTAATTTAATTATTTGAAAATAACTTTTTAGTAAATAATTTTTAAAAAAAATGGTTGTTTAATATTATATTTTTGAATTTGTTGTAAACATTGGAGTCGTTAAAAATAAAATTTTTTAATATAATATATTATATAATATTATTTAATATAATATATTTTTTAATGTATTTTTTTGAAATATAAAAAAAAAAGAATATACATGATTCAATTTAAAGAAAAATATTTGAATTCCAATTGAATTTTTACTAGAAATTTTTGATGCTTAAAAATGTACGTAAACAGATTGAAAATGCAATACATACATTAACTATATTGTTTGATTATTCATAAAGAACTCACTTTTAATAAAATATTTGAGTTAAATACAATATATGTGAAAATATTTAAACGATTAGTATACTACAGTTTTGTACATAAATATAATTATAATTAATTATATAAATGTAATTATATGTAAATGTAAACAATATATATACATATATTATAAATTGATTTTGACATTAAACCTTAATATCGTTTAATAATCAGAAACAATTATTTATTTTTTATAATTTTTAGCAATTACTAACTTTCTTATAATAATAAGTTATAAAAGTCGTGTATACGAATACGAATCGATTTTTTAATGAAAGATTTAAACTCGTGTATGTAAATATATTATTTATAATATAATAATGTAATAATATATTTCTGAAGAGATTTTGCTGTACTTTGTATAATAGTGTTTTGTAATTATCGATTTTATTATTCCATATGAATAAAATGTTCGTAGTTTTCGTAAGAATTCCATTACGAAATTTTCCTTGGGTTATTTCAATGAATGTTTCGAATTGTTTCCTTTTAAAAGGAAATCTTAGAAATATTGAGACAATCTTTTAAAAATAAAATATATTTATTCAGATTCCATTTTTGTTAATTTTCTATAAAAATATACATTATTCATGCAAATATTTATAGTTTTTTTATTATTCATTTCAATTATAAAATACAAAACATTTTCTCTCTTTTTTAATATCTTTATTCTCTCCAAATTTTATCCTATATTTTTAATATATAGTATATTTTTAGTATATAGTATTCTTACTTCGAATTCTAAATATATAATAGTACTAAAAAATATTATAATAAAAATTAATCATATTATAATTACTACAAAAATTATTTTTTTATTTTACTTTTTGATCAGCTTCACGTATAAGTTTGACCATCTTGTTCGCGATTTCTTCATTACATGCTCCAATTGCACGTGGTTTCATAATATCAATCTTTTCACCTGTAATACATATCATAGTTGGTATAAAATCAGTTGATATATTATACATATATAATGATAACGTCGATTATATATTGGATTATATGTAATTTGTAGTTACATAAATTACAATCGTCAAATTTAAGATATCGCATATGATTAAAGTAACGCACAATTTTATCATATACGCATATAATATATATGAAGATATGAATTCAGAATGCAAAGTCCAGAAAAATTAAATTTAATGAAATTTTCTAAAATTAATTAATATTTTCTATATTTTCGTGAAATATTATTATTTATAAATAATAATTTTTATATTATTTTTATATCATAATTCCAAAATATCAATCGGAATCATTATTCAATGATCTAATTTAAGTAATATTATAATATATTTATGTAATATATATACATAATATATATGCGATTTGAACGAAAAATTTTTTAGTCTTTAGTTAATTCATCAAGTTCAAATGCCGCTCATTAACAAACTTTGAACGTAGTGCGGCGTGGCACAACAAAAGTTTTCGGGCAACTTATAATATACATAATTCTGAACTGCTGAAAAAAAGTCTCGCGAGACTGTACAGAGGGGTCTACAGAGACAAGAGAGGATCTTCGCTACGATTGTCTATTTCTTTTAAATGCTTTGTTGACAATCCTGACATTATATACTACATAGTAATAGAAAAACTATAATTCGAAGCTATAATTCAAAATGGTAAAAATTATTTTCATTTATAAAGTTACGTTAGGATAATTATCCAAGATTGGTAGCTGAAATATTTTCAAAACTATTAATTATATTTCGATGCAATATTAATAAAACTAGTTTATTATTTATTATTATAATATGTCTAGCTTATTTTTATGCGCACAAAATTATTATTTTAAAGATTTAAATACGAAACATTTATACATTTATAAATTAAATTATTGTCACAAATCAATTAATTAGTCTGTATATATATTATGAAAAATAAAAAAATTTTTATATTATATCGATAGTTAGAATATCCTGAATTCTATGTTTACTAATACATCTATATTTAGATACATATCATCGTTTTATTGCCTCTCTTTGTCATAATCGGATTAATATATAAAAATAAAAATGTATGAAAAAATAGATGTTTCCTCTCATATTAACCAATTAGATTTGCATTCTTTCCACGAGATTTCTTTCCAGTAGTACTTACATTATACTTTTTTACATTAACAGAAGATACATATAGCATTACCTGTTACACGATCGACAACGATACCACCCGCTTCTGAAATAATCAATGATGCTGCGGCGATATCCCACGTTGAAATGCCTGGTCCCTCGATATAATAAGCATCGACAATTCCCATTGCAATATAACATAACGATAATGCAGCTACGCCAAGTGTACGAATACTATTGAAAACAAATTTAAAGATATATGAAAATCATACGCATAGATATAAAATAACAATTTTATATTGAATTACGAGCATATTATATATATATATATATATATATATATATAT